TATTAATTGAACACAGTATTTTTCTTAATACAAATGTATATTAAGGTCTTTTAATTAGTTGCTTTTAAGAGTTTTTGAGATGAGTAGAGAAAAGGTGGAGTTTTAGGTTGGGTTAAATAATGCAGCACACCACATGATTATCTCTATTGATGCAGAAAGAAACATAGACAAAATTGTAGGGCTCATCTTAATATTAAAATGTCATAAGTGAAAAACCCATAATATATTCCATATGCTCCTGGTGAGGGGCCAAATCTCTCTCCCTATGATCAGGAACAAAACAAAGATGCTGATTTTGTCATTTGTATTAATTATAGAACTGGGGCAGTTGCACAACGAAAACCAGAAGGATGGAAAAGAAGCTTGTAAACTTATCTCTGTTGCAGATGATACAATCTCCATCTAAAGAATTCAGTTTTTAAACTCTTAGAGCCAATAAATGATCTCAGGAATGTCACAGGACACACTCCTCTGCGCTTCTGTAATCTAGATGTGAATGATTCAAAAAGAACATTAACGGCACCTTTATTACTTTTCTTATTGCTGTGACAAAACATCCAACATGAAGCAACTTAAGGGAAGAAGGTTTTATTCTGGCTCATGGGTTAAGAGGATACTGTGCATTATGGCAGGGAAGGCATGGCAGAGTTCATGGTGGTGGGAGCTTACAGCCAGGACTCTTCTCCTCCCAATGGATCAGAAAGCTGGCATGGGGACCGCTGGCACTCAGGTTTCTTTTACCAGGACCCCAGCCCATAGGACAGTGCCACCCACATTCAGAGCAGATTACACCCCTTCAGTTAATCCTCTGTAGAAACATCCTTATAGATACAGCCAAAGGTATGTTTCTTTGACATACTATACATTTCTCAGTTTAGCCAAATTAACCATCACAGCATTAAAATAAGAACTGAAAATAAAGTATTTGGAGATAAAGTCAACTAAGTAGATACAAGACTTGTACACTGAATGCTATAGAATACTGATGAGATAAATTAAAGTCTTGGAAAATTCTCCAGGTTCATGGGTTAAAGACTTAATGTTACTAAAATGACAATAGCAGTCAATGCGATATACATATAGATGCAATATAATCTCTGTCAAATGTTCAAGGGCATTGTTTGTGTAGAAATGGAGAAGTCCCTCATAATAGTCATATGAAATCTCAAGGAACCCCAGATAACCAAAAAACCTTGGAAAGAATGAAGTAAGTGAATATTTTACATTTCTTGATATCGAAACCTTTAAGGACAGAAATGGAGGCTTCATATTTTATTTCAAACATAAACAGTGGTACTGGCACACACATGGACACAGAGAGCTGGGAAGTGGCACAGTGGGTAAAATACTTTCTCTGAAAGCATGGTGACTGGAGTTCAAATCCCCAGAATCCATGTAAAGCCAACTATGGTAGCCCACATCTGTAACTGCAGTCCTGCTATGGTTAGATGGGAGGCAGAGACAGAAAGTCCCCAGAAGCTCACAAGCAGCTTGGTGTACACAGCTGTAACAAAGAGATCTCATCTCAAACCAGGTGAAAGAGAAAGCCCAACACTCGGGTTGTCCTCTGACCTGCACATGTGCCCTGTGCCCACTCACACACAGGAAGTTGGGGGAAGAGGGAGAGAAAAGACATAGAGACCAATGGAGTGGAATTTAAAGTACATAAGTAAACCCTCACCTCTATGGTCAACTGTTTTTTTTTTTCAACCTTCATATGCCAATGCCAATAGTAGAGAGTAGTATCTTCAAGAATGGAACCAAAAATACTACATATCAACATAAAAAAAGAATGAAATTGGACCCATAAACAAAAATTTAATAACACCAAAAATAAAGGCACACCTTTTATCGCTCCAACAAAATACCTGAGACTGACTACATAAAGAAGTATATTTGGAGGTAATTCTGGAGACTGGGCTGTCCACAAGCATGCCACAGTATCTGGTCAGCATCTGGTGAGGACTACATTGTAACATGCTCAGTGCTCCAGGCCATCTAAAGTTGAAATAGACAAGCTCATTCACTATTCTCACAAAGCCAGGAGTGGTTTTTATAGGGGTCCCAATCTCATGAACTCATCCAAACCCAATCACCTTCCAAAGGCCTGAGTTCTAAATAATATTTAGATATGCATTTGGAAATTCTCTTTCATATAAACTTTGGGGTTCACTGTCGAGCTGTAACCTATATAACTATAGAAATCACCATAAGATGCCAAACTACAACACTGTTAAAAGAAAGTGCGGGGAAATCTTCATGACTTTATATTTAGCAATGATCTCTTAAAAATAGCAAAAAGAAGCTGGGAGTGGTGGCACACACCTTTAATCCCAGCACTTGGGAGGCAGAGGCAGGTGGATCTCTGTGAGTTCAAGGCCAGCCTGGTCTACATAGTGAGTTCCAGGACAACTGGAGCTACAGGGAGACCCTGTCTCAAAAAGACCAAAAAAAAAAAAAAAAAAAAAAAAAAAGAATAATCAAAGTAGATAACCTGGACTTCATTAAAATGACATATTTTTGTGCATCACAGCATTCGACAGACTGAGATGATAACCCACAGAATAGGAAAGAAGACTTGCAAATCATATACCTGAGAGTAGTTAATGCCTAACATACAGAAGTAAGTCTTACACATCCACAAAATTGAAAGATAACCCAAATTTAAATTGATTAAAAGACGCGACTAGACATATCTTCAAAGAAGATATGCAAATTGCCATGAACTAAATGAAATGGTATTCAGTATAACTGGTCATTTGTACAAGAAAATCAAAAGTTCAGTAAGATAACACCTCACACCTATTAAAATGGTTCTAATTTAAGAAAAAAATAAGAAAAGTATTGGTAAGGATGTGAAGAATTTGAACACAAACTTTGCTGAGGAAATATAAAACATAGCTATAAGTTTTGTGGAATCATTTGTCAGTTTCTAAAAAAAAAAAATTAAAGCTGGCATTAGCCAGTGATCCAGCCAGCTCTCCTTGTAAAATCACAATGACTCCATAGGGATGCCACCCTCATGAACTCATTTGATTCTAATTATTATTCTAGAAATAGATAAAAATATTAGAAACAGGTGGCTGAATAAATACTACATAACCATGTTAACAGCAGATTTACATTAGTAAAAAGTAACAACAATCTTAACATCCATCAGCAGATAAGAAAAACATACATACTGTAAACTATACACACAACAGAAAAGTATTCAGTCATAGAAATAAGCGAGGTCCATATTTTGGCCCAGTATTGAAGGTCACTCTAGAAGAATAGAATCAATGAATTACATATGTAATTTTAAAAGTGGATTGATTAGATGGGCTTATTCTTATACAATTAGAGGCTAGATAGTCCAATAATGGCCACAGAGGCAAAGAGTCTGTGAGCTTCTCAGTAAAGAAAACTGAATGTCATAGGAGGAGGAGGACCAATGATGCAGCTGGAGGAGAAGAGCCTGGAAGCTCCCTGCAGAGTGGCTGGTGACCTTGAAAGGCTGAGCCTTGGTCTGGAGTGCATGAGTAATGGCAGCAGCAGTAGACGTACTCAGAAGGAGCTTGCACACGCTGGCTAGCTTCCTCTTTTTCTACTTTTATTCTATCTGGATCCACAACCTATTGGATGGTGCTGCCCACATTTTGGGATGACTGTCCCTCAGTCGTTCTCCTACATGCAAAGTCTATCTCTGGCAATGCACTTGCAGATACAATCAGGAGTGTGCTTTACTAATCCCTGAGGCATCTCTCCAGTGAACATCTAGATGAACCATGACATCTTCAGTCCACTTTTGGCCCTGTTGCTTTTGGGTGTGTGGTGGCACAGTATATTACAGCTATGTACGATGGCAGAAGTTGTTCAACTCATGGCTATGAATCAGGGAGAGAAAGGATGTGGCTGGGTTCCCAGTATCCCCTTCAAGAGCACATCCCAGTGACCTGACTCCCAGGAGGCCTTGTGGAAAGCTTCCACCCCTCCCAGTGTTACCACAGGCTGGTGATCAAGCCTGTGGTGGGCACTTACCTTACCCAAACCACAGCAAGAGTATATACCAAAACACCTTTAGTACTTGTATTTGCACAAAAAACATTGGGAGAATATATAAGAAACTAAATTAAGCAGTTATTTACAAGTTACATTATTATTTGGGCTAATGGTTTAGACTAAAAAAATTGTGGGTTAAAAAGTGTAGAAATATTTCTACCCTTGTTAGTAAGTGGTCATTCCCCAGTCCCCTGAATGTAGTCCACCTCTAGGTCTCATCCTGAGATACTTGGTTTCCCTGTAGTACAGCAAATGAAAATTTTAACTGAGGCAGGTCAAAGATTTGGTAGCCTAATGAAGAATGGGATTGGATGGTATCTTGTATTCCAAGCCTTTTTATATTCTGCATATTACTCATTTACAATAATAAAATTTATTAACTAAAATAAGTAATGAAGTGAATACTAGCTTTAAAAAGTCAGTTAAGAGACTTGAAACACGTGTATTTGTAATTATAGTGGTACAGAGAACAAGAGTTCAGTGAATTACAAGTCTTGTATAGAGGCTTGAATATACTACAGAAGATAGAAAAATAAATCTAGACTAGATATGAAAGAACAACTATGTAGTATTACTTAGTTTGAACTATTTCTGTAAGAGAGATAAGCTAATCAGAGGTGTTTGAATTTAAATTAACAGCATTATTCTTAAAGAGTTTACATGATAGTAAAATAACTGTAAACTGTTTGGGGAACAATCTGAGGAGTGGAAGAAGATGGAATTGAAAGGCAAAGTCTATGATGACAGCAGTAAGGATAGGAACATCCATCATAGTCAAAGATGCTGAAGAAACGCTATCCAACACTGTTGATAAAAACTAGCTTGGGGTTGAGCTTACTGAAAAAGGAGAAACAAAAGATGACTCTACGATTTCCAGCTTGGTTGACTAATGGAGTGGAGCTTGACCTTGTGATAAGGGTATTCAGAATTTTGATTATGTAAAATGTGAATATACTGAGGAACCAAAGATAAAGTATGACATAATATGGATTTCAAATGAAAAGTCATTATGTAAACGGGAACAATTTTTCCATTTTATGTAGGAATGTAGTCATTTTTTATGGAAAAAGATCATCTTCATACATAAATGAAGGCTCAACTCAAAGAGTAAAGCTAGAGTATAATGATACAAAGACTCTTTTGTGCTTATTTTTGCAAACAAATTTCTCTTTCACTAAAATAAGTTAGGCATATGACATGTAGAAAAACAACCTCCAGGTTATGCCACTAATGTTAAGATTTCTTATTTTTATAGAAATATAAATCATAAATACAATTTGTAAAGTGTTATGTACTATTTTCCCATAGAAGGCACAGTACTCCTAAAAAATGAATTTCCTTAAAATGGAAATTAGGACAAACATTAGGTGTTTCATAAAAATCCTTATAAACAAAGTCTTTCCTTTTCAGTCTTACACATGTCCCAGCATCAGCCTTCTCTGCCAGCAGCTAAGCTTTCAAGCAGTCTAGATGCATACTGTTGCCTTACTTTACTGTGTGCAAGAAAATTCTCATACCCCTAGACATTGTCATTTCTCAGGAACTGGTTCTCACCCTGTTTCTGTCTCTGTATTCACTTCTAGAAATGTTCACTCCATCTTATGGGATTCAGTTTCCAACTAAATAGCAATGATTTCCCTGCCTGCTTCCTCCCTCCTTTCTTTCTAAGCTCTAGATTTTTCCTCTAGACTACAAGTACAAATAACCTGCTTCCCCACAACTCAATGAGTCTGTTTCAAAAACACCTCAAGCTACTTGGGTACAAAGGATTACACTCAGTCTCTCCATAAATCATGGACATCTTCTAGTGTTCTGACCTTAAGGAAATTTTCATTCATCCAAGTATAAAAGTCAGAATCTTAGTGCCTTTTTAACATTAGTTTATTAAAACTTTAACATTTAGTTTTTATTAAATTCCATTTATTAAATGGCTGTAGCTATTTCATCACCCAAACCACAGTTACTACTTCCTAATTATCTTACATCTTTGTACTTGTCTGTCAACACATCATTCCAAACTACCAATGTCTTTCTCCTAGGGTATAAAAGCTGTATAACTAACTATTCCAGCTAGCTTTTGTAATATGAACATCACATTGGGTGGAATTATTTATTCCTCAATTCTGTGAAGGAAGTGTAAGAAAGACATTAGTTTCCAAATTCCCTGTACAAAAATATAATTGCTCAAATATACAATACGAACATCTATGCACATTACATATTAACAGTCACCATCTCCTGATTGGTCACATTATTTATTATTATTAGCAGTCTGTGTCTCCTGTGTGGTTAGGTAAGTGGCTTGAGAAGTGGTAAGAAACAGATGAATGACAGCACATCCTCCTACATGTGCTTTGCATCTGCCCTTTCAACATCGGAGCTTCCCATCTGAATTTTCTCTGTCAGTCTTTTCCAGATTTTTGTCGGATCATCCGAAAGCCTGGGAAGGCTCTGGTGTGCTTCCCCAACACGGGTGAGAAAGTCCGTGGTATGAAGATGTTCATCTATTTTCTCTTGGAGTAGAAGCGACTCCAGTAAAGTCTTCTTTCGTTTCAGGAAGTCAGACTGAGCCAGCTCTGCTCTCTTGCTCAGACAACTGGGGCACTTAGCAGAAACGTGCTGCTTAGCTGTGGCCATTTGTTTTAGAGTTGCCCTTGTATTTTCCAAATAGATTCTGTTCAAAAGTTCGCCAGGAATAGTACAGTTTAAAGCATCTACCTCCGGAGTCTCCGCATCCAATCTGAACTGCAGCCTTTTATGTCTACTGCCCTTCTTGGCCTTTGAGTTCTCTCTGCGATAAATCAAGTTTACTTTAACAGAACAAAAAGACTGCAGGGCGCGCAGTTCTTCCTCCGATGCCCGAGGGACTTCTATGTGGAGCCTACTGTCAGACTGGCATTCTTCAGAGTGGGTTTTTTTGCCCTTGAGGTAACTGATCCATTTTTCGCTCACCTTATTTTCATTCCTTTGGGAATCTGAAAGCTCAGGTTGCTGGTTCCTTCCCTCCGAGCTTGTAGTCGGCTCATCACTCTCTAGTTTGCTCTCAGAGATGTAGGAACAAGATTGCTCCTCTGCAGAGGAGCTGAAAGAACCTGAACTCAGGACCTCACCAGTAAAGGGCCTGAGGGTCTCATCAGGAAATTGTGGCGAGCCACTAGCGTCCCACTGGGTCGGCTCTCCTGGCTCCTCTCTTGAGTCCTCGGGCTCCTGGGCAGGTGGCCACCACATCGCCTCCGATTCAGCCCTTCATCTGCTTTGCTCCGGTGAAGACTGGGGTCAGGGACCCAGGAGAATGAGCCCAGAGGGCACGACTGTCCTGGACCGGGAGAGTGCAGAGGGCCTGGGCTTCCGGTATGCCTTTTCGGGTTGCCTTGGCAACGCGCGCCGGTCATGCGCGGTGTATGGTCCGCGGCTCCTTTCCCGGCTGGCTGCGAAGATCCGGCTCAGCGCGGGTAAATCCGCCCTTTTGTTGAGTTCTAAGGCAGCTGCGAGTACTTTTTAAAATGCAAAAATCTAGTAACAGTCCAGAGTAAAGTTCGCAAAGCCCTTTTCCGCAGGGTCAGGCAGGCGTTACCGGAAGTGCGAGAAAGACCTAGGGCAGTGACAAAAGAGATATTGTGCCTCGCCTCAAGGAATGCGAATTTAACAAAAAGTACTGCCTAGAACAGCAAGCAAACGTCTGTCTTCCGGTCAAGAGGAAGCTAATTGTATAGCATGTTCTAGGATTAAAATCAAAGCACTGAAACACCCCTAGCAGTCCAAGGCATTTGTGCACAAGGGTTCCCTGCAGCTGCCAGGGACACTCGCCACTCACAGGGTCATCACCCCAGGTCAGGACTCCCCAGCAGTGCTCATGCTGCCGCTGCCTGCTTGCTTCCCAGTCTTCTAATTTTTATGTTTGTGTCTTTCACCATGAAAGCAGAAGCCATGTGGGTATTGCCGAGGCATTTTAGTGAGCTGAAGATCTGTGGAATTGGAGATCGCCTTACGCAGGCTCCCAAGGTCATGTTTACATACAAGTCATTCTTTTCTCCATTGAACGAGGAAATTGTTTTAAAGGACACCTTCTAATAGGCTTAAACAGGCTTATATCCGGACTAATTCGACTTTATCTTTTTAAAGTGTTGTAATTTTTTTGTTTTTGTTTTTGTTTTTTTCAATCCTAGGAGCCAGAAATGCAGGTGGAAAATTGTATCACTTATCAATATCTTTATAAAAGTAGTAAGACCTTGCGGGCTGTTTAACATTCTAATGAGTGTGACTTAAGGAAAAAATAGCTCAGGAGCACTAGCATCATTAGATAATATGTAGACTGGCCAAAGTTCGATTTTAAACAGAAACTGTTACTTTTGAAATCAATCATAGTCTTAACTTTTCAACTGGGTCACAGGGTGAAGTTTCAAGGTGACTCTATTTAAAATCCATATCTTGTTTGTTTCCAATCTGTGAACTAAAGATAATATTTATCCACTTTCTTCCATGCATGGGAGAGTCCTGAGTGACCAGGGGGAACAGCTTAGGCCACTCTGTATGTAATACTGGCAAAAGAACTCTGTTTTGTTTTGTTTTTTAATGTTTGTTTTAAAATAATTTTATTAACTTTGAGAATTTTATACAATGTATTTTGCTCATATTCTGACTCCCCTATCTCCAATCAGATCAACTCCACCACCCTACCCACTCCCTCAACGTCCTCTTTTTGAGGGAGGAGAGGGTTGGAACAGGGTCTCCTTGTAGTCCCAGCAGCCTGAAACTCACTATGTAGGCCAGGCTAGGCCTCTGTCTCACAGAGATCCGCCTGCCTTTGCCTTCTGAGTTCTGGGATTAAAGGCATGTGCCACACACCCAGTTCTCTGTTACTTTTTTAAGGCCTTTCTAGCCTACTTCGAGTGCACAGATGTTCTTGGCTGTGGATCCGTCCCCTGGAGCGTATTCAACCTGTGCAGCATCACAGGCAAACAAAACTGACTCTTCTCCCAGTAGCTATCAATTACCAATAGTTCCCTTAGCTAAGAAAGTTGCTTTCTGCCATCTCCCCACTCCATACTGGGATATTGTCTGGTTCCAGTGGGTGCAGGCCTTGTGCAAGCTGGCACATGTGTTGTGGGTTCATATGTACCCTGCTGCGATTGGGAAGCATGGTTTTCTACTCATCCACGTTTTTGGAGAATATGAAGAGTTTGAACAAGCATAATGCTTTTGGTTAATTTTTTAGTTGGAGGTTTCAAATGAGAGACAAACTAAAAAGCATAAGGGGAAAAGGTAACAGGGAGCTGCAACTTCCTACCTTAACCAAAAATGTCTTTATACAAAACTGATGGATACGAAGCACTCTTTCCACTGGCTTTGCCGGAAGCACACCTGATTGAGATTCACCAGAAGAAAATGCAATATGACATATTCAACAGTTTGTTGCTTTTAAAAGGAAATGAAAAAATAAAAAATCAAGGAATTGACAGAGTGGAAATATTTCCTTCCCAGAAAACCCAATAACATTTCAATGGCTCAATAATTTTGTGACAGAATTACTTATACTTTGACATATACCTGTAAACTTTAGAATAGCTTCTCAATCTTATTAAATATGGAAGGAAAATATAGCACTTTCACTTCCCTTTATTAATGTTAGCTCCTTTACAAGTTCTTGTCCATCTGGTGACTACAGAAAGCCACTAAATCGTAATTAGGGACATCCTAGACATTCCCATGTTTAGGCAAATAGTCAGTCACAGCTAACTTTAACTAACAGAACCTTCCTTCTCCCCAGCAACCTCCTTCCTTCCGTCCCCTTC